CCATGAATGACTGAAAAATTGTGCTGAACAATGGAATTTGACACAACATTGTAAAATGATTATAAATCAATAAAAAAATGTTAAAAAAAAAAGACTCAAATTACTAAAGTCAGAAATGAAAGTGGGGACACTGCTACTGATTTTGCAGAAACAGAAAGGATTATAAGAGAACACGATGAATAATACACACCAGCAAATTAGATAACCTAGCTAGGACAGACAAAGCCAACTCAAGAAATAGAAAGTCTACACAAACCAAAAACAAGCTTCCATTAGTCACCAAAGCCCCCCGTAGTGTGATTTCTGACGCTGCCAAGGCATCCATCTAAGGGACCACACAGCCCCCAGCAAAGCAAGAGAGAAGAAGCAAGGCCACTCAACCCGAGCCTCCTTTCCAGAACGCCCTGAGTGACCTGGACACCCGACCCCTTGAGTGACCCCACTTTTCCCTTCCCGTGCCTTAATTCCCACCCTTAAGTTTTAAATTCACCAATAAAGAGTGAGCCTGTGAAACCCGAGGTCCCCGCCCTCGACCCCAATAACGTCGGAGTCCCGGTCTGTGTGTGCCCCATCCATGGCCTTGTCTGTGGCCCTGAGTGTGCCGTGTCTAACCCCCCAGGACCCATGCGCAGTACCCTTGTTCTTTAAAGGGCCTCATGGACGCTGGCTGAGGTGTCTCCTGCAACCCTAAGAACCACGAGGGCCAATCCAAACACAACAGGGCCTGGGGGTCTGTGGGACCGCCCCAATACCGCAGGCCCAGGGAGCGCCCGGGCCGTCTGGAGCCTCCAGCCCCGTGCCGCCAGGCTGGGACCAGCACAGCGCTGCCAGCAGGCTAAGGTGGCAAATGTTGATGTGCTGTGAATTTCACAATCTACAGAAAACAAAAACAACAATAACCCGACAAAGAGAAGTCCAAGACCCAGTGGCCTCACTGGTAAATTCTACCAAACAATTCAAGCACTGACACCAAATATTCTTAAACTCTTCCAAAAATTAAAGAGAAGGGTACACTCCCTAACTTTAAGAAGCCAATACTGCACCAGTGGCAAAGCAAGACAAAGACATTACAAGGAAAAACCTGCAGGCCAATATCCCTTATGAACACAGATGCAAAAAACCTCGATGCTAACAAAAAATACTAACAAACCAAATGCAGCAGCATGTGAAAGGATTGTATACAATGACCAAGTGGGTTTTATCTCAGGAATGCAAGGATAGTTCAACATATAAAAATCAATGTAATACATCACATTAATAGAATGGGGGGAACCATGATTATCTCAATTGATGCAAAAAAAAAATCTGACAAAACTCGACAGCCTTTCATGATAAAAACACTCAATCAACTTGGAAAAGAAGGGAACTTCCTCAACAGGATAAAGGCCATGTATGAAAAACCCACAGCTCACATCACACTCAGTGGTGAGACTGAAAGCTTTCCGCTTAGGATCAGGAACAAGGCAAGGATGCCTGCTCTCACCACTTCTGTTCAAAATAACACTGGAAGTCCTCGTCAGAGCAGTTAGGCAAGAAAAAGAAAATTTAAATGTATACAAATTGGAATACCCAAATTGGAAAGGAAGAAGTAAAATTATCAATTTTCAGGTGACAATATTATATACAGAAAATGCTAGAGAATCCACAAAAAAGCCTCTTAGTTAATAAACAAATTCAGCAAAGTTCTAGGATACAAAATCAACACACAAAAATCAGTTGTATTTCCATACAATTTCCATACTTGCAATGAACAATCCAAAAAAGTAAAATAAGAAAACAATTCCATTTACAACAGCAATCTAAGAATAAAATACTTAGAAATAAATTTAACCAAGGAGGCAAAAGTTTCACTTGTTACAGTGAAAACTAGAAGATATTGCTGAAAGAAATTAAAGAACTAAGTAAATGGGAAGATATCCCATGTTCATGGACTAGAATATCTAATACTGTTAGGATAATACACCAAAAATGATCTGTGGATTCCACGGATGAATTTACCAAATTCATCCATCCTAAAATTCATATGGAATTGCAAAGGGCCCTGAATAACCACAATAATCTTAAAAAAAAAAAAAAAAAAAAAAAAAAAACTGGAGAACTCACACTTCCCGAGTTCAAAATTTCTTACAAAGTTACAGTAATCAAAACAGTGCGGCATTCACATAAAGACAGACATGAAGACCAATGGAACAGAGTCCAGAAATAAACTCATATACGGTCAGTTTCTTTTCAAGAAGGAAACCACGACCATTCAGTGGGGAAAGAACAGTCTTTCCAACAAACGGTGCTCAGTAAACGGAACAGCCACATGCAAAAGGATTAAGCTGGACCCTTCCTTTACACTCCATATACAAACATTAACTGAAAATAGATCAAACACCTAAACTTAAAAGCTAAAACTATGAAACTCTTAGAAGAAACAGAGGCAAACCTTCAAGGCCTTGGATTTGGCAATTTCATTAATATGACATCAAAAGCACAGGCAACAAAAGGAAAAAGATAAACTGGACTTCATCAAAATTTAAAATGTCTGTACATCAAAGGAAACTATCAAGTGAGGGGAAAGAACCTACAGAAAGGGAAAAAACACTTGCAAACATCTCACAAAGGATTAACATCTGGAATGTATAAAGAACTCCTGCAACTCAACAACCCAACTCAAAAATGAGGAAAGGACTAGAACAGACATTTCTTTAAAAAAGATATACAAACAGAAAAATGATCAGCGTCATTTATGTCATGATGGAAATGCAAATCTACACTGCAATGAGATACCACTTCACATCCATTGGGATAGCTATTATTTACCAAGGGGTGAGGGTGTGGATAACAAGTATTTACCAAGGGGTGAGGACGCAAAGAAACTGGGACCCTGGGACACTGCCGGAGGGAATGTAAAAGGGCGCAGACACTGTGGAAAAGAGTTTGTCCGTTCCTCAAAAAGTTACACATAGAATTATCATATGACCCAGTAATTCCACTCCTAGGAATATACCCAAAGGAACTAAAAGCAGGGACTCAAACAGATTCTTGTGCACCAGTGTTCACCACAGCACTATTCACAACAGCCAGGAGTGTCCATCAATTGATGAATGGGTAACAAAATGTGGTCTCTACATACAATATTATTCACCCTAAAAAAGGAAAGAAATTTTGACATGTGCTACATCTTGCATGAAACGTGAGAACATTATGCTGAATGAAATAAGCCAGTCACTAAAGAATAAACTATATAGTTCTGTTTGTATGAGGAAAGTCGGAGACAAAAAGTGGGTGCTGGGTGCCATGGACTAGGGGAGGGGAAATGGGGCATTACTGTTTAATGAGGAGAGTTTCAGTCTGAGGTGATGAAAAATTTTGGAAGTAGACAGTGGGATGGTTATACCACATTGTGAATTCATGCCACTCAATAGTACACTTAGAAGTGGTTAAGATGATAAATTTTAAGTTATGTTTATTTTACCACAATTTTAGGGGTGGGGGTAGTTGATTCCACTTCATAGAGTCAGGCCATTCACACTACAGAACACTATGAGGCCCTGAAAACGGTGCCCGGAACAGCGTCCCAGAGGGCAGTCCAGCCCAGCCCAGCACCAGCAAGGCCTCAGAAGTTTGCTAGATGTGCTTCTAGGGCACACCAAGTCTGAGAACAGCCACCAGGAAAGAGCAGGAAGACACGAGACTGGACACTCAGGTGATGGCAGGCTGCAGAACAGCACGTATAAAAGGTGTCACTTTGCACACGTCTTCTTTTATTCAGTAAATGCCCAGCAAGAGGCAAAAGGCTGGATACAGTGCAGCAACTGCCCAGACGAGCCAGCCCTACCATGGCCAGGAGAGAGGCCCACAGAAGTGGGAAACATAGTGATGGTCACCACACCTGCGCTCTGTCCCAGGATGGGCGTGGAAACGGGTACACTTCTCTTGTTCCATCGACGACAATAAACATCTTACTTTTGTTCAGTTTTTAAAAGGATGTCAATGAATTAACACTTTTTAAAAGTGAAAGGAGAAAATTACCAGGACTCAGAGCCACCCTGCCCCTCAGGGGGTCTCGTCCAAGGCCACCCACTCACTGCCCTGGGCCCCAGTCTCCCCTGTAAAGCGCTTGGACAGCGCCAGGCAGAGGGCGGCCATCAGCCCAGCATGGGGGCTGCCACCGCGTGAGTGCGTCCTTACCTGGCACAGAGAAAACGTGGTGGACACAACCCCAATCAGGACGTTCAGGGCATCCTTCACCAGCTCGCGCTCCCTCACCAGGATGGGCTGCGGGGCCTGCAGGAGGCCCCCGCCCACCACCTGCAGCTCCCCATGGCGGAGCCTGCAGGACCTGTCGAAGGCGTCCCTGCCTGCCTCTGTGAGGTAGGGCTCCTCTCTGTGGCCGGGGGTGCTGAGGGAGACAAAGGGGGCAGTGAGTAGACAGAGCGACACACACCTTAGCTGTAGGAACTAAAGACAGGACAAAGAAGGGCTCAACACAATAAAACACCTAAGAATACAGAGCAGGTGCCAACCCTAACCAACTGCCCTGCCTCTCCATCAGCGTCTGGCAGGCTCTGGCAGACAACTGTGCAGAAATGTGTCCAGAAGCAGCAGCAAACGTCCCCACCCGCCTGGTACCCATGGGGCACGTGGTGGTCCTCAAGCTGACAAGTCACTCAGTGTACCTTGATGCTGAAAACAAGCACAAAGTTTGCACACCCAGGCTCACAGCGGCACAGTCACAACAGCCAAAGCAGCCCAGGGTCCAGACCCAGATGATGGACAAAGAAGACGTGGTCCACCGCTACAAGGGAACTACTATCTAGCCTTAAAGAAGAAGGAAACTCTGACAGGTGTCAGATGTCACAGAGGAACCTTGAGGACGTAACACAGCCCAGTCACCAGAGGACAACCACCACATGGTCCCACTCCTGTGGGGTCCCCAAAGGAGTCAGAATCAAAGACACAAAGTACAACGGTGGGTGCTGGGGCTGGGGAAGAGGGATGAGGAGTTAGTGTTTAATGGGGACAGAGTTTCAGTTTGAGAAGATGAGAAAGTTCTGGACACCGACCGATGGTGGTGGTGGTCACACAGCGTGAATGTCCTTACTGCCACGGAACTGTAACTTAAAAATGGTGAAGATGTTAAGCTTTACATTATGTGTATCTTAGCACCCTCCCCCTAAAAAGGAGGCACACAGCAAAGATTCATGAATTCCTAGGAGAAACAGGCCCACTGGGTCTTGCGGAGGGTGGCTCTAGGCACACATCCGCCCCTGGGTCTTTGCCTCCGGAGGGTCCTGTGGGAAGTTCAGGTAAGTGTCTACCTAGCTCAGTCACATTGTTCAAAAGAGGGCAAAGACACAGTATCACTTTTGAAATAGTCCTTTGAAAACCAGCAACACCTACTAAAAGTAAGGAAGAACTCGGTTTTTTTTTAATCCACTGGAAAAAGTAATTTCTTAATAAAAGGAGCCCAGGATAAACTCAGAACTTGTTAAAAACAAAAATGCTTTTTAACTGACAACGCACCATACTGGGGCTCCTTCCCTCACTCACAAGGATCTGAGCGCGGGGCTGAGCAGCTGAGAGGACAGGCCCAGCCCTCACTGGGGTGGCAGGGGGAGGGTGCTGCAGACAGAAGCTCCAAGGAAGCACGGGGCTCCTAGAGGGACCGGCGATGCTGGTCAGGAAGGACCCGGGAGCATGGCCTAGCTGGCAGAACAGCACTCCTGGCAGGGGGAGCAGCCTGTGTGAAAGCCCAGAGACAGGAAAAGAAAGGGGCCAGGTGTGTGCGGCTCAGCAGGCATGTGGGGTGAGGTCAGGGGCGCTGGGCCTACAGTCCAGGCAGGGGTGGCCATGAAGCGGGGTCAGCAGAGCAGTGAGTGCCCTGATTTCCATCCCTGGAAAGTGGCACTGGCCATGTGGAGGATGGGCCAGAGTGGGCAGGAGGAAGGGGAAGGCCAGTCCTGAGGTCCAGAGTCAGCAGGAGGGTGCAGCCTGCACTCCCGGGGCAAGAAGGGTGTAAGGAAAGGGAAACCCCCGCATCGGGGCCCTTCTGAACGGCGCTCCAGGGAAGAGCAGGTGAGCACACAGCTCCTGCCCACTCCTCCAGGGAGGGCCCCTGACTATTGTGGCAGCACGACCCCTCGGGCGACTCAGGGTTGAGGGAGGAGAGCCCGTGGAGGAAAACGCCGAACTCGCACTCATCACAACTTGGCCCTTCCCCCGACGGAACCACCTCCTGCAGGGTGAGGATCGGGGGGCAGACAGGTGCACAGAAAGAGCAGAGGACACCTGGCAGCAGGGGAGGCGGCCTTCAGACCAGTGCTGGCCCGCAGGGGGCGGCACCATGTAGGGTCCCCCAGGGCTCTCACAGCAAGGGCAGAGTTCACAGTCTGGGGCTGTCGGGGGATGGGGGGCCTTAACTGCCCGTTCCTCAGAGGTCCTGGCAGGAAACTAGCAGGCAGCTAGGATTCCAACTGTGACAAGTGCAAAAGATTCTCCAAATGAACTCCAGTGAAAGGCCTCAGGGGCCAGGGGCCAGGAGCATCAGGTTATGACCAGACGGGCAGGAGGTGGAGGCAGCGAGCTTGGGGCGCGCCCAGCCGCAGGGGCCCGAGGTATCTCCTGCAGAGGTGGCAGCAGGGCACAGACACAGGCCCACGTGCAGCTGTGGTCCTCCCTACAGGAAGTGCCACAGGGCAGTCCTCACTGCTGGGGTTCTGTGTCGGTTCCGCTCTCAGGGGACACGGAGGAGATTAAGTATATTCAGAACAGGGGACTAGGATGCTGACTGACTGGGCAATCACGTCTCCTCCCTGGTGACCTGGAAAACCACGCCTGGAAAAGAGGGAGTTGATATATAAAACACCACTAGCAAATACTTACAAAAGGAAGTTCTAACTGCCTGTTACCCAGTGCTTAGACTCCAGAGGGTTAGCAGAGAACAGGGTGATAGAACTGCCCTGCACACAAGGCAGGATGAAGACCCAATGGGAAGCTACAGGGCGGAGAAGCCCCGAAGACAAGACAATCACCCACACTGGCGGTGCTCAGGGAAGCAGGGAGCTGGCGGTGCCTGGAGGAATCCACGTGGGGGAAGGTAATCATGCCAGGAAGGCGACCCCATCAGGAGCGGGGCCCACACAACAGGTGCTGAACAGCTGTCTGCCCCAAGCATGTGCCACTCATCCTTAGGAGACCCTGCAGGAGCCGCAGCTGCATCAGAGTTACTCAGCTCCCTGCGAGCCTCGATTCTTTCACTCAGTGCTCCCCACACTGGTGTCCCACAGAAATGCCGGCAGATGAGACATGACAAGAGGATCCCTTGACCAAACGTGTGTCCTCACTCCCCACTCTAGGAGGTTTTGAGACACCAGAATAACAGGTCCTGAGAGCAGAAGCCCTGGACCAGAAGAGCACCAATCAGGGAAGCACTGTGATGACCGGAACTTCTCATCACATCTCTTCTAAACGTGAAGAACAGGGACAGGAAGAAACTTCCTCATCAGCGCCCTGTGCCGGGCACTGACCACACTGCTGCCAGGCTGCCCTCAGACACCTCTGACTGGGAGCCCTCCTGGCAAGGATGTAACTCAGTTGCCAACTGACTGCTCTGACTGGAAAGTGTGATCTGCAGAAGTTACTGGCTCCATGGGGAACCTGTGCAGCCTAGAATCCTTTTCCATCTGCATTTCTATCAACTCTCAGCACACAGACAATTTGGGACACTAACTTGACTGGAACTTCTAAGTTCCTAATCCCAATCATCTGGGCCCTGAGTAAAGGTCACGGTTACCAGGGTAGGGGTGGGGGGTGGGCACTGTATTTTAAGGCAAAGGCTCACGAACCATCCAACTTGCTCCCAGCACCTCCGCTTGCTGGCCTCGTAGGTGAGCACAGCATCCCACAGGTCAACATCTGGGGTCATGCTCGGCTCAGACTGGGAATCAGGAGTCAGATTGGATGCTGACTGGAACCCTTCATCTTCCGATGGATCCACACTCGGAGGGACCTGGAGACCGCAAGAAGCAGGAAACTTTACCTGTGACATGGTGTCTGGATTTCACCCCAGCGTGATGACAATTCCAGGGAACTCTTCCACACTTCCACTTACTCTACGAGAAAGGCCTAGCGGAAGGTTTCTTATATTTCTCCCAAGTAGGTAAGTACTACACGGTGTTTTTCGCCCCTAGTGAATCATTCAAGGAACTAAGCCCATTAATCTATTAAGGTTACCAATTCCCATTTCACACAACAGAGGCTGATTGACGTTTCTGAGCCTCAATGTAACTTACAATGAAATTTCGTCCCAATCCAGAAGTTTCATTGTGGGGAACCCAGCACCAAAAAGTTACACAGACAGAAAAATTCACATAAGCCAGGATGTTTGCTACAGCATTGTCTGTTTGGAAACAACTTCAAGACCTCACAGTAAGGCAATGACTGAGTGATGACGGTACATTCTTTCAGCAAAGCCTCAGAATGCAAAGGCACATGACAATTTACTCAACATCGGGAAAACCCCACATGACCGGTGAAAGCAAGCATAGACGGACAACTGCATGTACAGTACGGACAAATGTCTGTTGCCACATATGGCTACTGAGCACTTGAAACTTGGCTTATGCGAGGATGAACTGGGCTTGCTGCATTTTAATTAACGTAAATGTAAACATCTACTCACTTGGGGGCAGAAGTGAGTGAACTGCACGTCCTGTCGGATACGAGATGAAAGCGGTACCCGGAGCGGGACCGGCGGTAAGGGACCGAGCCTGGCCCGGAGCCACCGAGTGGGCGGGACCCGCGCGGTCCTCCTCCCACCATGGTCAAAGGAGCATCTGCAAAGCCTCGGAGCCACAGGCGGGAGGCCAACACCCTACCTTGATGGCCAGTCCCGCGAGGTCGGCGCTGTCCGGTACCGGGGGCAGGTCCAGCCGGACGTCCATGTCGTTTGTGCGGCTGTGCACGAGGGCTCCGAAGAGAGAGACGCGGGTGTCCCTCTCAAACCTGTCACCGCTAGGGTCGCCGTACGAGAAGAGTAGCCCGGTGCCCGGCGCCGCCTCCATCACCTGAAGCGTCCTCCGGATCAGGTCTTGACACAGACTTTCCTCCCCGGAGATGAGAGCGCCCACGTCCGCCTCAAACGCGCGCAGGTCGCCGCAGTCGTAGCCGCCGTAGGTAACTCTCCTCCCGACCGGCCCGCGGGGAAGGAAGTAGTCCCGCCCGCGCCGTGGAGCTCGCGGGGGGCCGCTGCCCGACAGCTGCACCAGGAGGTCCAGAACCGAGCCCATCTCCGCCAGGGGCCGGCCGGGCGCCGCCTCCAGTCCCTCCACCAGCTCCTCCAGACGGTCGGCCTCGGCGCCCAGGCCACCCACTCGCAAGTCAAAGGACAGCATGAGGATCTTGTTTTTCACCGGGAGTCTTGAGAAGTCAGGCTGCAGCCTGCGAGTCTCATCTTGAAAGAGGCTGGTGAACAGCGCGTTGTAGGCCACCCTCTTGAGGCTCTGCTTTGCCCTCTTCCGGCTCCCGCGGCGCTGGCCCAGGTGCACCTTCGCGGCCGGCAGCAGGGCCTCGCATAGGTCGTCCAACAGCTGCGGGACGCTGGCCATGCCCCCTCTTCAAGCCGGGCCCTCGCCCCCGGCCCTGCACGCTTTCTCGGGGCCCTGGCAA